GACACACGTTAAACATAACTTTTAAAGAGTCAATTCTTATTTCCAAGGAATGTTTTAAATACTTAATACTTACTTTTACTTGACTATGTAGTATTATAGAACTTTTTCACAGTTCAGGCAGGAAAATATGTGAGCCAGCCCCATCATGGAGTTGTCACCAAATAGTAATCATTTCATGCTGCCTGAAGGAAACTAGGATGTATAAAAAGCCTATTTAAAGAACCCGTTTTCTAGAATGATTGGCTTTGTTGGAGACTGACTACAAGATTTCATTTCCTTTTCATTGACCATAGAATTGCATCAGCATTCTTGATCCATCAGTGTTTTTCTCAAGCTTTAGTATGTTGTTGTTGTTGTTATGAACTGGAACTGACTTCTAGCTGAGCCTTCAGTGGATTTTCAGAGGCTGTAAGTCACAGGGGAGAAGATCACCAATCTTTCTCCCAAGAGGCAGCTGGAAGATTTGAACACGTGCCTGTGGATTGGCAGGACAAGCAATATAGCTTCTTAGCACGAGGCCACCAGAGCTCACTCAGCTGCTCTGCAAGAGAAAGATAGGCATTCTGGTTCCATGTGATGTACAGTCTCTGAAAGCCCACAGGAGGGTCAGTTGTGGGGTGGTTCTGAGTGGACTACACTGTACACATAGAAACGACTCAGTTAAGCTGTTACCCTTAATTCCTTGAGAATGTGAGAAGCACACATGTGATTGCTCACCTGTTGTGGGTGATTGTTCACTTGCTAATCTATGGTGAAAAGCTTAGGCTTCCTTGTTCTTAATTGAGTAAATTTGTAATTGTTCATTTCAGATTAGTATGTTAAGCACAGTAAGTCTGTGCTGGCTTTGCATATTGGGTAATCTGCCGCTGACAACAAGGAATGAGGTAGAGCCATCTTTAAAAGGAGTCTTCCCAGGGTTTAGGACAGTGGCTCACTAGGGGTTGCCCCTGACCCCACCCCTTCGCCACCTTGGAACCTATTAGAAAGGTACATCCTTCAGTGCTACGGAGATGACTCATTCAGACTGTGAGGATGGGTCCCCCCAAGTCCTCCACGTTACTCTGATGCTCACTGACACCAGACAGCCGCTGCCTTTGGATAACTGATCAGAGCTTAAAGCCCAGCAAATGTACTGTGTAGCAACACCAGAGAAATAGAAAGGGGGAGGAAACGAGGGTGGGCCAGAAAGTCGCAGACCACAATACGGTTCCGATAATTGGGAAAAGAGGGGAGGAAGACTGGTTAGGCAGGATTAAGTGGCGGGGAAAGCCTTTCCAGAGACCATGTCATGTGTAAAGGGTAAGAGTTTTAAAGTGTGGAGTGCTTCCTAATGTTGTAACTGGGGGCCGTTGAGCTGATGGTAACCCATCGAGACCTCATGCCATAGAGTAGAACTGTCCAGTAGGATTTCCTCTGCTAAAATCTTTATGAAAACAAAGCATAAAAAAAACAAAAGTCTTCACCACTGGGTAAAGTAGGTAATACCGTGATTGATGGAGAAAAGATTGAAATTGCAGATGACTTCATCTTGCTTAGATCCACAGTCAACACCCTTGGTATCAGCAGTCAGGAGATTAGGAATTGTATTGCATTGGGAAAGCCTGCTGTCGGAGACCGCTCCAAAGTCTCAAAGAGAGCAGTGATGGCAGTTTAAAGACTAAGGTGTGCCTGACTCAAGCCACAGTCTTTTCCGTTACCAGCTTTTTATCTGAGAGCTAGACAGTGAATGAGGATGACACAGAATTATTGATGCATTTGAGCTGTGATGTTGGAGAAGAGTGCTGAATATCCCAAGGACTTCCGAAAGAACAAACAGATACGTCGTGGAGAATGTGCAACCAGAGTGCTCCTTGGAGGCAAAAACGGTGACACTTCATGATCACATATTTTGGACATGTCGTTAGGACAGGCTATTCCTTGGAAAGGTAGAGGGTCAGTGTAGGAGATGAAGACCCTCAATGAGATGGATTGATACAGAATCTTTAGCAATAGATTCAAATGTGCTAAGATGATAAGAATAGTGCAGGATAGGACAGGGTTCTGATCTCTTCAAAGGGTGGCTGTGAGTCAAGCACTTAACCATTGTGACACCAGGGCTCACAAAGACTCAAATGAGACCAAAATGTCTTTTGTTCATGGAGGTAGGAGGGTAACATCAGGCTGAGAGGACAGAGCCCATATGATAACAAGAGTTGTAGGCTTTGTGGCAAACTTTATCATTCCCTTTGAGCATAAACTAAGCTATTTCTGGGGATCCACATCAGTAAATTAACTGAGTGCCTAGTGAGCCCCAACACATTTTCCCTTAATCATTATTGCTAATTAAACCCAGCTGTATCCTATTTAATCCCCAAAGTGGTGACATTTTAATTCCGATTACAGCCATCATCCGTTAGCATCTGTTCACGACCACAGCTTTTCTCCTATAGATTAGGTGTGCGGCCAGCATATGTAACGGTTCTCAGTTACTGTTTTCTCTTTCCATTATGCACTGATGCTTCACCTTACAGATGAGAGGTGTGAAGTATCAATAGAAATTGTTTTGTTAGTGTTGTGCCCCCTGGTTAGGATCCATCAGTCCAGTGGGTTATTACTGACATAACAGAACAATTCTTGAGACGTTGTTTTTACCGTGGACATTTACAAAGGCAATGTGGTGTTTGTGTTCTAATCCTGCTATATCAGTACTCTAAGCTGTTTGACAAGAGAGGAAAGAAAGTGGACTTTGAAGCCAGGCAGACCTGTGTGGGTTTGAGTTGTTTCTCTGAAAGTTAAACTGTGTGTGGCCTGGGGACAGTCATTTTACAAACAAGACATTTCCTTGTTTGTAAAAGAAGGATAATAAATGGTGGTTGTAAGGGTGAGAAGTAATGAATGGAAAGGGCCTCATCTGTGGGAGTTGTTCACTGAAACAGCAGTGTGTTTTGGGGACATTAATTCACGTTAAGACCGGCTGAATTTTACTAGTTATATTTCACAGAATGCCAGCAGCATACAAAGTAACCTGAAGGGGCCTAGGTTTCTGTACTTTTGTCAACGTGGCCAGTGTATTGTGTGACTTTTCTAACCCAACAGTATCTCTACATGAATGGGATGATGAACTGATTGATGTAAATAAAAACTGAAAAAAAAAATTAGTAACTATAAAATGTATGTATTCATTATATAAACTGTAATTTAAACTCAATTTTACTTAAATTTTAAGGGCAGTAGACATTAATCCTTTTCTATTAGTATATCTCTATGGTACTACAAACTGAAGTTAGCTATATATTTTATTACAAAGCTCCGGAGTCCCCTGGGCGGTACCACACCCAGGGGTGGTGTACATGCTCTCCGTTGCTACTCAAATTTGGTAGAAAGGTCTGGAGATGTAGGTCTCAGAAATTAAGCAGTAAAAACCCTAGGGAGCCCAGTTCTCCTCTGACACACACGGAGTCACAGTCAACTCAATGACAACATGTATGTGTGTTTATTAAATTTTCTATGTCAGGTTTGCCAGTTAAAATGGGTTTGCTGATTTTCACTTGGATTCTAACCCAGACACATTGTCCTTGACTTGATCTGACTCGTGATGACCAAGGCTGTGTATGTTTATGGGTGTGTGTGTGGGGTGTGTGTATGTGTGTGTGTGGGGTGTATGTTTAGGGTGAGGGGGCAATAGCCTGTCATTCTCTCACAGAGGGGCTGGTAGACATTTCTTTTTTTATTCCTACATTTAAAAAAATTATTTAAATTTATTATTAATTTCAGTAAAAATCTACAGAGACTTTGGATTTCCATTCATTCATTGTTGCACTTTTCTCCCCTCCCAACCCTCCCCCCTAGTACACTACCCTCTTGGAAAAGTTGTTGTTGTTGTTGTTATGTGCCATCGAGTCGTTTCCGACTCATAGCAACCCTATGCACAACAGCTCTAAACCCTGCTCTATCCTGCGCCAACCGCACCGCCTCTGACACACCCATCCCGATTACCCCAGTCACCGAATCAATCCATCTCATAGAGGGTCTTCCCCTCCTGCGCTGTCCCTCCACCCTCCCAAGCATGATGTCCCTCTCCAAGGACCCGTCCCTCCTGGCAACATGTCCAAAGTATGTCAGACGAAGCCCCAGAATCCTTGCCTCCAAGGAGCAGCTTGGTTTAATCCTCTCCAAGATGGATCTGTTTGTTTTCCTGGCAGTCCAGGGTACATTCATTCAGTACCCTTCTCCAGCACCACAGCTCAAAAGCATCCACTCTCCTTCTGTCCTCCCTAGTCATTGTCCAACTCTCTGATGCATAACAAGCGATTGCAAATACCATGACCTGTATCAGGCGCACCTTAGTCTCCAGAGAGACACTGTTGCTCCTGAGTACGTTTGAGAGGTCCCTAATGGCAGACTTTCCCATCACGAAGTAGAAGAAAAAATCTTTCATTGTTTTACAAACCCTCCCCCAGGTCCATTCCACCATGTAGCCTTTGCTCTGGACTCCTGTCATGACAAAAATACCTAATCACATATCCCTTTTAAACAGTTTTCTCCCTCATCTGTTTCAATGCAGTATACATTATTGAACCTATTTTTCTCAGTCTCTCCCCAACCCCTATGTCAGTCCTGTTTTATAACAGTGGCACCATGCAGTATTTGTCCTTTTGTGACTGAGATATTTCACTCAGCATAATGTCCTCCAGGATTACCCATTTTGAATAATATTGCATGAGTTCCTTGTTTTTCAATGCAGCGTAGTATTCCATTGTGTGAATATACCACAGCTTCGCTGTCCATTTGTTTGTTGATGGGCACTTAGGTTGTTTCCAACTCCTTGCTATTGTGAGCAAAGCAGCAATAAACATGGGTGTGCACTTGTAGACATTTCTAAAGTGGCAAAAATAAATGGCAACTCTGAAATAAAAATGTTTTGATTGAATGCTTGGATCTTCTTGAGCCTACACTGTTTGAAATAAAGAGCAGAAATGAAAACCTGCGTCTCTAATTCGAGATTTCTCCTCTCATTTCAGGATTTTGCTTACCACTTTATTGTGTTTGTCTTCTACTTCGGAGCCTTTTTACTGGAAGCAGCAGCCACATCTCTGCACGATCTGCATTGTAATACAACCACCGCCATACAGCCACTTCTGGATGATAACAAGTACAACATAAACGTGGCAGCTACAGTGAGTACCACATGAGTGCAAGACACCCGCCATTGTCAAGGCCTCTGAGAAGCTCCCTAGGCAACAGTAATGACAGTGATTAGCTATAAAGCTCATTGCTTTCAACGTGTACATTCAGCATATGGGGAAAGGAGTGTTATTTCCCTCACTTTTGCAGATGGTGAGACTACGTCCCAAAGAGGTTGGCATTCATGTAAGATCGTAGCAATTTGAAGGTATTCATTTGGCTAGTTTACAGATTGGAAGTGTTAGTTAAAAGGACCTGTTGGCATTGTCTTTACACTTCTTATCTCTGATGAGTTAGAGTCCGCCAAACAGATTAGTCCAGGCAGAATAAAAACAATTCCTGTGGATGACTCAGCACAATAGTCTGTGTCGTAATATTTCTATAGCAGTGTAGAAGCGTTTTGATGAAGAGAGAAAAGTGGACTTTGGGATGAGAGTTGGCGCAGCAAAGACTCCTCTGTAGAAGGGATTAATTATGCTTTTCTCTTCTTGTAACTTCAGACATTGTAAGAGAGATGTGTTTCTGTGTCCTTCATTGTTCAGTGCCTCCTTAGAATTCATTTAATTCATTGAATATTTACAGAGGGCCCACCGTGTGCAAGGTTATTTGCTGGATGTCAGGAGGCAGGGGTGAACATGCTTCCGTTCCTGCCATGGAGGAAAGTCCGTTTGAGAGCATATTTTTTTTTATATTTTTATTATTTTGTGTGCGTGTACCACCGTCAAATCAGATCCGACTGGTACAGGAGATTTTTCCTCCTTCTCCAGCAGAGCATCTGGTGGATTCGAACCAGGTACCTCTAGGATTGCAGTGCAGCTTCTTGCCACTAGGCCACCAGAGCTCGCCGAGGGCATATTTTTTTTTTATTATTATTAAATGTTATTAATTTTGATGAACATTTACAGAGATTTTGGGTTTCCATTCATTCATTGTTGTACTATAGGGCATATTTTTGAACTGTATTTATCCTTCTCAATTCATTTACTGGAGTGAGTTTGTTGTTTGGCATGGATATGGTATTTTAAAGAAAATATTTGGTCTCTTTTTAAAGAGATTAATTTTAAAATTCTTTACATGGTAATTTCCTTTCCCTAAAGGCCCAACAGTCCAGTTCCTCCCAGTATGATTGTCCCTTTTCTGTCCGTGGTATTCTTCAATTTCACCTGTGAAGCCAATTTTCTATCTCAGTAAATCAATTTATCCTGTGCATTCTTCACTGAGCCCTATTCCAGCCATACAATCCAAAGTATGTAAATCTGATTTTTTCGTTTTAATAGCACTTAAATGCATAAGCTATTCATTTATGACATTATATTTGTATTTTTATATTTCTTCTATTTCACTATATTATTTTTTTTATATTTCACTATATTATATTAATTATATATACATCCTTTTTGTTTGAACATAGCTGAGAAAGTGGAAATATCCTTTTCACTAATAATAGATGCCCAAAGTGCTCATTCTGTTTCAGGGGACACATTCCAGACTGGAGAAATGATCAGAAGGCATAGAACAGAGAATAGCAGAGAATAGTAAACCGTGAAAACTGCCTCTCAGTCAATCTGATGATCTCTCTTGTAGCCCTAGTTAATAAACCTTGCACTGAAGCATAATGTTTTATCATATAAACTGAATGGTCTTATCTTTTCCTAGGGATCATAAACCCCCAAACAGTGAGCCAATATCTGTATTTACTTATATACAACTAGATGTGATGTGGGGACACATAGTTGGAGCAAAAGAAATCCTCACTGAATAAAAAAAAAAAAAGCAGGAGTGCAGGGCAGAACACAAACCCAGCCCTGGGGGTTACCAGGCTCCCCCCGATTTGTTCAGCTGTGAAATCACTTTCTATTGTCATAGAACTGGTTTGATAGTTCCTTAGATTCTGATAGCTGTTCTCATTGACGACTTTGAGGTCACTATGTGAATAAAGACCTCATGATGAATCTGTTAATCCAGTGGCTGGACTTCTCACAAAAACCAACAAGTGAGCCATATGTGAGCAGACAACAGTGTTGTCTCTGCAAATGAGAAAGTGATTAGAGGCTCAAGGAGAGACTGTGTGAGAAGAGGGATTGAAACAGTAGACCATCCAAACAAGATGACTCAAGCATGTCCATCAGTATGACGTACTCTCAGTGGCCTGGACAACCTTCCAATAGTATTCCTTACGATGGTGGTTTTCTTAGTCTCGTAAATCTGATGTGATTTCCCCCCCTTTTCTTTCTTAGATTTTTGCCTTTGTGACGACAGCTTGTTATGGTTGCAGTTTGGCCCTGGCTTTTCGAAGATGGCGACCGTAACACTCCTCAGAAACTGTCTCTGTCCCTCCATTTATGTACGTCATGTGTGTGATCAACTTGGATCCCATTCATCCAGCTATGGCACCGTTCCGGAAGTATTTTTTAAATATAAAGAGAGAATCTGAGTGCAAGTGTTAGTTCATTTCGTGGATGGAATCTTATTTTATGATGATGCTAAACAGAGAAATGGCCTTTCATCTCACATTTCAATTCTACCTACATCTGTGTGTGTGTTTGCTCATTTTTCAAGAAAATTACTCATCACTTCCATAAAATAAGCAATTCTTTTTCATGAAAAAGTATTACTCTTCCTGGATGGTTGATAAGTCACCTGCACCTTAATTTTAACAGATGACTAAAGTTTTCTTAGCCCTCACTTCACATAGACTTCCACCGAATGAATCTTTTTTTTTTTTATAAAACAGGCATAAGCTGACACCTCCTATGATAAGGGCCTGATAGTAAAGATTTTAATCTTTGAAGGCCACTTCTCTATCATAGTCTCTCAACTCAATCATTGCCATTATAGCATGATCAACCATGGACAGCATATCCACCAAGGAGCACGCATATGAACCAGTCACGTTTTATTCACCAAATCAAGCAGCAGCCTCGATGTGGCCGATGACCTCTTCAGTCAAATCCTAGTTATGTGCTTTGTATTTCATTCAACCAGTCATGAAAGTTATAAAACCAATTCAGTAAGCCACATAATAATAGTTTCTTTATGCAATAATCACATTGCCTTTATGTTAGTGGTTAAATGCTTGCCTTTGAATGGAGCACATAGTTTCTCAAAAGACATCAACAGGCTTGGATGAAGGAAAAAATAATGTATGACGTGAACCCTAGTTGTTCAGTTTACCCAACAGCCTAGCTACAGAACAAGACTGTCATCAGATTTCCTTTAGAAAGCCTTGAGACCCCAATTCACTGGCGCTGGAATCTCGCTCCTTATGTCTGTCTTTGGACTTATTTATGCTTCAGTATACAGTTGCTTGCTCTTATGCATGAATATACAAATATCTGTGTGGATATGTGAATCTTTTTAGAACTTCCTGAAGAGTTAACTTTTTTACTTCTGATTATTTTGCATTACTTTCTAAGTTAAATTTTAATAGAGTATTAAATATAGTTTAAGGTTAGGGGTTCTTACATATTTTGATAAATAGCCTGGGACATCAATGTTGCCTTTTCATTTGCATCAAATACAGAACAGCTGGCATAAGCACAGACTGGGGACAAACAACACAGGAAAGTATTCTAATCCATATATACAGACCCTGGCAATCCAGTGGAGGGTCCGTTCTAACGTATTGGTAAATAGTTTGAGTGTTGGGATGCTGGTCATAGAAAGGTGCCAAGTAGCTTGAATAGGATTACAAGACAGCCCCAGTGATTGTATATTGCCCAAGCAAAAGTTCTTGCTCCCTATCCAATGAGGTTTGTCTCAGGAAAAGAGGGTCTTTTGGTTACTACAGTCCTTCACCTCTTTACTTTTTAGCTAAATTGAAAATATAACAACTATGAATAAGTAGCATCATTATTATGCTGGCTATTTCCCTAAAAAAGGAAAATGAAACCATAGCTTTATTTGTGGTATGGTTTTAAAGGTCAAAGATGTTTCTGTATGTGACTTGAAGAAATCCGTCTTATGACTCTGTCCTCATGCCATATCTTTTGTATAATATCCTACTTTCTTGGTATTTTTAACTCCACACCACAGACTAAACCTGTATTAGCAATATTACATTACAAAGTTATAAATGTGCCATAAGAATATATAGTCCATTCCAGTTGGAATTATTTAAAGTTAGGCTTCTAAATTTATTTGCAAGGTTTTATTTTTGTTTTCAAGCTATAGCAGATCCATGTTTGGTGGCATAAATTAAATGGTTTTATTAAACTTCTTTGGTGGCACTTGTGTGAATGGATTACTTCTGGATCATTAAGAACCAAGCTTAAAACTCATCTAACTGTGAATATTTAGATTTGTAGATTGATTGCATTCTAGATTTGTGAATTGAGTGACAAAGCACTTGAACAAAAAATATGGCATTTAATAATTTCTTTTATATTTTATCTATAAAAATGAGAAAGTGTTGGTTGGTCTTCAAATCTGGTTACTCTGTGCAGAAGAGAAATTTATTTTGTAAGTGTTATGACTCTAATAACACGTGTTCTGTTTACTGACTGTCCTCATTATCTATGTAAGTATCCATTTGATAATTTTTAGTCATCTATTTTTTGTACAGTTTGCTTTGAAATTCAGTTAAAAGTGTGATATAAACTTGACAGATTTAGACTTTCTAGACTTCCATAAAAGAGTTCTATTCTGAACTCTGTAATCTGAAAGTCTCCCAGAGTAAATGACATTTGCCTTGATGAAGGGGAATGATGTAAGTCTTTAGAAACCGTATTCCAAAGAAAGATTAAATGGGTGTTATATTCTATTTATTTTCTTTTCAAAAGATATTTATATGATGCTTCATTTATACCAGGCACTGTTCCATAATATTTAAACTCATTCCTAATAATTAGTTTAAGTATTAACCCATTTAAATATTAACCCATTTAATTCTAATAATAATCCTGTGGAGTGACTGCTATTCCTCAGTGAGATGGCTGGACACAGTGAGTGTGTCAGTGAGCTTGAGTATGTGTGTCAGACAGTCAGGATGGCACAGGATACAGAAACGCTCAGATCCATTGTTCATAGGGTCATTGTGAGTTACAGTTGGCTCAGCAACACTTAACAACAACAACATCCTGTCTCAAAGATGAGAGAACTGATGCACAGACACGAAGAAACAGCCAGAATCACCAGTTCTAGAGAGGAGTGGAGCTGCAGTTTCAACCACGGCAGTTTGTCTCCACATCTCAGCTCTTAATTTCTGTATTTGCCTATGTGCTCCCAGACTTCGCATCTTTTCTTTAACACAAATTATGGAACCTCCCCGTGATTCTCCCCCCTGCTCTCTCCCAAGAACTTTCGACAGGATGGTCAATAGCGTTGTTAGGTGGGTGTCATCTTTTTGACCATAGATTCTGACTCGTCACCACCCATTAGAACAAAGCACAACAGACTCAGGATTTCTGAGACTTTTAGTCTTTGGAAGCAAATGAACACATTTGTCTCCCATGAAGCAGCTAGTGGATTCAAACCTATGACCAGTTAGCAGCCAAACTGTTAACCTCTGAGGCACCATGATTCTTTTATTTGTGCTAGATCAGACAATATTTATTTAATCTATAGGGTTTCATTGATTAATTTTCAGAAGCATATCACCACGCTTGTTTCCTAATCTGTCTTAATCTAGAACCTCCACTAAAATCTGTCCACCATGGATGACTCTGTTAGAATTTGAAATTCTGGTAACAGCTTCCAGCATCATAGCAGTACACCTAGACTAAGATATAATGCATAGCAGGCACAATATAGATTCTTGATGAATTAAAGAATTGAGGCACAATCTAGATTCTTGATGAAGAATTGATGCATATTAACCACACTGTACTCTTGTGTTCAAGTCAGTTGTTGTTGTTGTTATGTGCCATCGACCT